GGACTTTTTAGTATCACACTCTACAGCCACAGTAGAGCTGTGCGTGTGGGCTATATGTGTGTTCAGATCTTCACCCTTCCATCTCTTCCAAACCTAAGATGCTGAGAGAATAGCTTGAAAGCTGAGAGAATTCAGAGCAAAAACACAGAATCGATACAAAAGTGTTTGTTTCTGGATCTGTACACAAACATTTAGTTTGTTGTTCAGTACAGAATTAGAGCAACTAATCCCCCAAGTTACATATTTTATCTAACCCAGCCTGCTCTCTCAGGAGCATCCATCTTTCTTAAAACTTTTGTGGTTATGTCCTTTTAGAAACGATTTGTTCATTAGTGCAGCAGTAATCATGAAAATAGGTCACAGCCTCTTTGGAGTTAAGCTGTTACGTCCCCACAGAGAACAGCACTTAAATATCAATAGCGTAACCGGGAAAACTCGGCAGTTATTTCCCTGTTTTCTGCAATTCAATGAGGAGTTGTTCGATGCAGACCCCTTTGCACTCCAGATGAATGGCGGTGATTGTGAGAAAATGATCTCCTATTAATGCAAGATGTCACACTGAGAACAAAGACTAGTTTTTACCATGATGGGATGAGCTCACTCTAATCCCCAATTTGGGCGACTTTGATGCTTGTCCAGGTGCCAATTTTTCCATATATGACATACCAGAAAAAAAAAATATATATATATATAAAATTTAAAAATGTTGAACAGGACAATGTTAACTGATGCATGGCTGCTGAGTCTCAAGGTCCCATTGGGTGAGATGTCATATAATTATCCTTTTGCATGCTATTTCCCAGGGAACCACCTACCCTGTCAACAATTTGAGCTTTCATGGTGCTAAAAAAATAAATAAATTCATATTCAATATACACTCATAAGTAAAGAAATGCAGACTTGCTTTTGAAATTCCCAGTCTGCTTCAGTTTACAGTTGAATAAATGTCTAAAATACATCAGTTTAATTCAAACTAGCTTTGCCTCTAGTTTTTCTGTACATCTTTTCCTTTACATCTCCATCCTTTTATTTTGGTGTGGAGTATTGGGATGACTCACTGGGACTTCCCGATACGTCATTCCTCTGTTTGCAATGCCCACTCACGTATCAAAAACGGGAAGGACCAGACCATAATGACTGCTCTGTTTGATGAGATGTGATAACTGAAGGTTCTGTATGATGTATTTGGCTAAGTTGCAGCATATTTTTTTTTTTTGAAAACATCACTGTAGGCCAGAGAATTAGAAATAATGAGATACACAGTAGGATAGCAAAACCCAGTAACAGGAAATTAAGTGTGCTATTTTGTCTCTCTCTTCTGTAGTATTTCATGTTTCCTTCCCTGCTCTGTTAAGATGCCTGCTCTCTTCGTCTGTTATCTCTTTGTCAGATAACTGTCCTTTGTCCAAGATCCTTCCTTATGAAGGCATTTGGAAAGCCAGGCAGCAAGGTCTGATTGAAGAAGACACGTACTGCTCATTGCTCTAACAATCCGTCACCCCAAACCTTTTCCCTTGTGATCTGATGTACACAGCAAACAGAAAAAGGTCCCTTGGATGCTAATCCTGCCGCCTTGAACAAGGTTGTCCTCCCTTTTCACCATGGAGAGCCCTTGTGTGGGAAAGGGGGAGGAATGCAGAAACATTTCTTACACTGCATATCCCACCAGAATAAAATGTGAACATTGCATGAGCAATAGGATCAAAGGTCATTAAAAACACAGAAGAAATAGCACAAAATTAGAAGGTTGTTGGGAAGATTTTTTTTGGAGTGCATGTGTGTCTCAAAAGAATAGAAAATGAACTCCCTGAAGAACAAAGAAATAAAATATTCAAAATAGTGCTGGAATTGCCAGACTCACATTCTTTAGGGAATATAAGTTTTTATTCTGTGTGTTGCTTTGTAAGGAATAAAACCCCCAAAGTTTCTGATTTTACTTATGAGGCTATTTTAGTGGATATACATTATGGTGTTCATTATAAGTAGACAGATTACTGAAGTAAGAGAATGAGGGTGACATGCAGGAAAAATATAAACAGTAAGTTAAAACAAAAACAAAAACAAACACAAAACAATGTCACATTCTGTATATTGAATCTCTATTAAAAGAAGATTTACAATTTATTACAGTTAGTTACAGTACAGTTAGTCAAGATCAAAAAAATCAAAAGCTGAGTCATTGCATGTTCAGAAGCACCATATTGGAAAGGTGGGGTACGTTTTGAATATGACGGTGTAGATTCAGAAGGAGAAAAATCACAGAAGACATAAAAGAAATTTAGAATCTTCTTCTCTTTTAAAGGCTACTTTGAGATATTATTAGCATTTGCACTTCGAAAGATGTGCAGCTAGTGGAGTAAATGCTATCGTGAGCCTGGCCACATCACTAATTTCTGGAGTATTCTTTTGCTTACGGTAGAGACCATTCTTTATTTTTCCTAGCTTTCATTACCTCTTGGGTATAAAATATTTGTGCTTTATCTTCAGCCTTTACCTCATGAACTTTCTGAAAACATTCAGATTAATCTGAAGATTAATAACTTTGGAAAGTTTGTCAGCTATTTTGGCGATCACCACCCTAACCAGGAAACCATGAAATTGTGCAGCATCGGTGTTCATTATATCTCTTGCAGAGATGCACACCCGTTCTTGTTATCAGGTTGGAAGGGAGGAATTTGACACCTGTCGTGGTATCAGCCCAGACTTGTGATGTCTGGCAACGCAGCATTAGCCCTGGAACAGCCTTGTAAAATATGAGTGCGAATTGCAGCACGCTTCTTACAGAGCGCGTCCCCCCTGCCCCTGCCCTGTTTGCTGCAAAGCTTCAGGTCGTAAACGTGGCTTGCCGGCTGCCAAGTCTCTTAGCAGCAGCAGGGCTCGGTGTGTTATCAACTAATGAAATCCCTCTGATTTCATACTACGCCTGTTGGCTCTTCTGGCACACTCATTCTTCCGTTCTGCTGAATTTCAGAATCAGTAGTGTGTCAAAAGCCTAACTGCAAGTATAGAGGGCTCTTCTAAATAATAGCAACTTCAGCAACACTGTGAACTCTTACTAATTACGTTTCTCTCATTCATCAACAGTAGGTTTTAGCATTAGTCTTAATGTGAAAGTGGTGTTATTTTATCCTGGTGGTGTTATTTTAGTGCTCTTCTGCAGAAGGTGCTCGTTGACTGAAGTGCTTGAAATCAAACATTTTTATGTTATTTTGCTGAAGCTGTTGTATTCTAAGAAGTGAGAGACATGTGAGCCACAGCAAGAAACAAGTGGCTGCTTGCAGTACAAAATTCAAGGCCAAGCACAATCTAAATTCAGAAGTAGGTAAGTCGCTGTGCTGGATTCAGAGTTGATGGATGAAGTGGCACAAGTTGCATGTTATTAAGAGGATGTGAGTGTGTCTGACTGAGTCTGAAGGAGCATAAATGATATTCAGAGGAAGAGGTCCTAATTAGAGAAGTGTAAGTGATGCTAGGACAGCTTTAAGCATCTATCATGGATAAGATTAGCTTAGACAATTCGTAGAAGTTACCTAGACTTGCTGGGAGAGAGCTACTTGACTGGCATATTTATTTTAGTTGCTTTTATTGCAGGAATGCTTCTTCCCATTTTTAAGTTTGGAGTGCGTGTCCTTGGCCTGATGCTGCGTATATGGTGCATAGAAGACACGAAGTTGTGTGCCTTCTCTGTCCCTCATTAACCTTGTCTGGTGGCTAACCTTCCTCTCCGTACATGCAGAACACATGCTTAATGAATGAGCAGGCGACTGCCCTGAGTTCAAGCAGCAGCAGAGCACAATGTGCTGCTTATGTCATGCATTTTCTTTTTGTGCAAGCAACAGAGTTGGGCATGGGAGAGCAGAGCAACAAAAATGCTGCGTTAGACACAAAAAGGGGATTATACATGCTGTGTAGTTTATGGAGAGACTCTTGGTAAAGACTCTCTACCAATATAGACAAATGGCACTTTTTAAAACGTAAAATTCTGTGAAGTTCCACCCATGTGGAATGGAAGATGTTGGAGGTACACTCTTGCATTTTTAGATACATCAGTTACTACTATCTGATTATTAGCCCTCAACTTGACCCACTAGCTTGTACTGTTAAGCACTAATGTTAAAGAATATCTTAGCACACTCTGTAATTTATGATGCAACCAAGATAATATATAGTATTATCTTAGGTTTTGTTAAATACTGAAAGGTGTTTATACACCACCATGTTCAGTAATAAAGAGCCAGTGATGCAAAATGTGGTATCATTAAATGAGTCCAAAGAGCATAAAACTGCTGAGACTTTGCTGTCAATACTTTTATATTGATTATGTGATCTTAGTTTTCAAGGCTTTATACACAAAAAGGACCCTTGAGACACTTTTTTTTCCCCCCTCTTCTATTTTAATGCAATATTTACAGAATATGGCAGTCAGTAAAGTGGTTCTCTCTTCTGTTTAAATACGTCAGGTCCGATACCAACACTGTTTCTATCCCAGTGCTCTTTTGGTTCTAGTTTGTTTGGGATTACTTGAAACTCATGTATGTGTTTGTTGATACTAATAAAACTGATTTTCTCCACTTTGTTGCTTGCCTAAGTTCTGCTGCCTCATGACACCAGCACTTGATTAAAACTGGATTTGTTCATACTGGAACAGTGAAGAGGTGATTCTGCCCCAGAGAAGCACGTACTTATGTGTGGCTCAGCGATGCATTTCATTCATTTGGCATGATTAGTTTTGTGTTGTTTTGGGGGATGGAGAGAATGCTTCAACCGCTCTTCAGTTCTGACAGCAAAGACAACAGTAACCTTGGCAAATAAGGATGCTGAAATACCACTTAATCCTTACTCGTAAATCAGTGGGGTTTTGCCTAAGTAATACATTACACAACCTCTCAGTGTTTGAGTAAAGAAGCTATGAAACACTGCTGCACTTCAGGTGAAGTATTCATGCAGCAATTACCTGTGTGTCTGTATGGCTGAAATAAATTTGGTCAGGCATGCTCTGGAAAGTTTTTATTTATTTATTTATTTTAATTGGGAAATGCTGATTCACAGAAATTAAAAGTGTGGGAGAAGATTCGTTTTGAAGTCTTTCATTTTGACATTAAAGAAAATAAAAGTAATTGTACAAATGTCTGTCACTGATATTTTCTTAACAGCAGTGTTAAACACTTAATAAAAAAAAATCTTTTATTAGGTTAAAACCTGTAAATCTCACAACTGGGTGTTATGGGCTGCTTTTGGGCAAGCAGTTTGTCTGAAATAGACCTCGTGCTCTCTTCCTTGGTGTGCAGCATTCTGCTGGGTGAGCGGTCGGTTCAGTGTTGTCCCGTGGCCTCAGGAGTGCCAGAGCCAGGGCAGGGGAGGAGGGTAAAGGGAAGGAGCGGATCCACCTCTTGGCTGCAGCCTCCATGTGGGCTGCATGGAGCAGGAGCCAAAATCACATCTTGAGTTAGGCTTTTGCTCCGAATCACATCCAGAAGGCTTTTTGCCTCTCTCCGCTTACCGATGGGAACCTTGGGACAGTTTTGGTGTAGGAGGCACTGAGAAGCATTTCTGAATATCCTCCCATGTTTGTTTAAAAGGCTGTAGTCACTCTGAACCAATTATTGGGAACGATCAGTCTGTGGGTTTGGGGGTTGTTTTTTTATTTACAGTTTTATTGTATATTTTCTTTTCATTTTAACTTTTGTCTTTGTAGCAGAAGCTCTCAAAATCACAGGCTCGGGACAGTTTCCTGCCCACTCTACATTTGTCTCCTAGCACTCGCAGTAAACACTAAGCAAATGGCTCTGATATTTCTAGCAGGGATTTTTGTTTATTACCCTGAGAGAGTCGTTCAACATGGTCAAAAGACAGTAAATGTTTCTCTGTAGCACTGACCTCTTCAGAGAGCATGCAGTACAGCTGCCTGTACAGGATCATGTGCACTGGGTGTTTCACCAACCTCCATGGTCCTGTGCTGTTGAAGGCTGTGGGTGGCATTAAGCTGCTGTGGAAGAAATTTTTACCTTAGGTTGAAGACTCTCTATATAAACTGGAGACTTATTGTCCTACTTTGCTTTCTCTTCTTTTTTGTTTTCTCTTCTTTTCTTATATTGCTGCCTAATTTGGTGATTCCTTGGTTCCCCATTTCTTGTTTTGTTTTCAGGCTCCTTCCCACACACCATTTGGAAATGATTTCAGGTCATCTGTAGAGCTCCACTCCTTTGGCATTTCCTGTATTAAAAAAAAAAAAAAAAGAAAAAAAAAGTTACCATTACAATTCCTGTCATCTTGTCTTGAAAACTATTTTGAACAAACCAGGTGAGGCTGGAGAAGACGGCGTTTTATCTTTGTGACCATTCTGCACTAGTCCTGCCTTGTGAACCTACTCCATCTGCAGGCTCCTGTCAGCATGTTGGTACACATTCTCATTTCATTCCACTTGGTTTTCTCTTTTTAGTATCTAATAGGAGTGCAGCTCAGCCATACAGGACATATTTAACCTTGCAATGCTTTGCTATATTAGTTTGGCAAGCGCAGTGGGGATATAAGTAGTCCGATATTCATATGAAAGATTTGTCTCCCACAGAAGAACCTGTAAAAACTTTCCCATATGTTTTCACAAGCTAGGGAAATAAAGGTGGGATCTTGGAGTGGCTAACTGGATCTTGTGCTATGCCTGTGGTTTTCCAAAAACTGGAAAAAACATCAGAAGTGTTTTTGTATGTTTTAGGTTTCCCTGTTGTTTCCACCCCCAGATCCCCTTCTTTGCATGTGTTTTCCCTGAGAAACAGGACCCAGATGCCTTAGGAAAGAGTGATAGCTACTACCTAAGTCTGATTGTCTTTTCCATTTATTGTGTTGTAAGGCCTGTCAAGAGAGGATTTATTACTTTAAAAGACTATGCAAATAGAGATGAAGGAATCATTTCACTTTAAAGGATAATAAGTGTTAAAAATAATTTGTGGAGATAGATCATCAAGCAAAAGATTCTCAAGGATGATTTAAAGCTGTCACGACAGATTAAAAAAAAAGCTGGGGAAGAAAAAGAAGAAAAAAGTCTGGAGATGTTCACTGAAACTGAAATCTTCAAAACCTGGAAACGAACCTGTTACATGAACATTTCCAGTCGTGCTATCCATACCCTGCATGCCCTTAGCTCTCACTTGCAAGATGTGCTGGTGAAGGGGAGGGCTGGAAGCGGTCCTTCCTCTGCTCGCACCCCAGGGAGGGGCTTCTCAATCCTGGGCTGCTTTGGTTGCTGCCCTTGGAGCTCCTTGCACATCAGTGCACACCTACTGCCTGCTGCGTACATTTTCTGAAGAGCCGGACAATGTGGCACTTGTGTCCCCTACCCCTGTGAGGTTTCAGGAGGAGGAAAGGCTTAGTTTGTTTTGCTGGCCCAAGCCCAGACTGGCGTGATAGCTCTGTGTGCAGTTATTTTGGATTCACAGTACTGTAACTGTAAGGCTTGCAGCTGTGTGAGTCCTCCACTTGCCATCCAAGGGTGTCTCCTGTCCTCCCCAGTGTAAGTTCAGTGCCTGTGTGATACTTTCATTTCCATGGAAAACTCTGAAATAATGAGCATTTTAGATCTGTGCTGAACAGAATCCTGTGTTCAATCCATACACAGGCCCTAATGTTTAAATTTGCGCAATTAGGACTTCATTTAAAGAAGGCCCAGAATCTTTAGGATTGCCTACAGCAGTACCTCAGGCCAGATGCTGTAGCAGAGGGCACCTAGGGCATCCAAATGTACTACTACATTGGATATATTTGCATTTGCAGCAGGAACTACAGCTGGAAAGGCAACAAATCAGACAGGAGAGGCAAGTAAGTCACTGTTCTGGGGATGTCTTATTTAGTGAAGGCAGTTTTGTGCTTACCTTGTGCCTAAGGCTGCCCTCACTGTTGAGCAAGATCTGGTAAGCTTCCACATACTGCAGCAGCAATGGTCTAGAGTATCCCTGTCCTTTGAATGTCTGAGCAGCACTGGCTGTCTTTTCCTCTTTCCAGCAGGCTTAGGTAGTGGGACACTGACTAATCTGAAGAAGCATCTCTGAAAAATGCTCAAAGGGAAGAAGGCAGCCCAGCAGGCATTGTTTAAATAGTGGCCTTTGGCATTCAGCTGTGCATGCCTAAATAGCAGTACTTGTTCTCCTCTGCCTGAAGTGCATCACAGTTTGAGGTATATGGCTGCTGTCACTGCTAGGTTCGCTGCAGATTTTTAATCTTCTGGTGCAGCTCAATAACATTTTTCTCAAATTTTGTTTTTCTTATTTGGAGTTTGCTGTTTGGGGTTTGTAGGTTTTCTTCCATTAAAATCACCTCATTTTATTGCAGTATGCTAAGCTGCAGGATTTGGAGGGGGGTTGTTTGTTTATTTGTTTAATGAAGATTTATTTTCTTTTTATTCCATTTCCTGAAGAAATATGCCTGTTTGGACACTAAATCAAGGGCTGAAATGAAAACTGTTTTCTCCCGTAATGCATAAATCAAAATTACATTTTCTTTGATTGCTTGGTTTTCCAATTAATAGAACACTTAAAATGAACATTGATGCCCATGAATAATGGAGCAAAACATGCAAGAATTAGGCAAAAGGAGCATTTGCAGAATTTTAATGAATTTTGAAGCAGCTTGTGGGTGTATGAGATTTCTCTATAGTTGCTTTCTTTAAATGAAAAGCAATGGGTAGGCATTGTGTCACAGTAATGTAGCGCTGCTTCTAACTGGCCTTCAGTAGGTAAAAATCCTCTGTTAGAGAAAAAAAAAAGAAAGAAAAAAAAAAAGGAAAAAAAGACAACCACAAATATCCAGGCTACAGACTTGTTTTCCTGCAGCTATTAGAAAGGCTTGTTGGCTTTCCTCTGCAATGGATGTGATGTGCAATGCCAGCTGCAGCAACTCAGACTTGACTGAAATGGATTCAGGTGTTAAGGCTGGATCAGAGAAGCCAATTAACCATTCAGGCAGAGCTGAGAACTGCATGGCCGGGTTCCCAGTATCCCCAAATGTAAGTGCTTACTGGATCCTTTCCACGTATTTAGATGCCTACCAGGTTAGAGCACGTACCTAAGAGGCTGAGGGTCTCTATTAGGGGTGGTTTTCAGCCTAAGGGAACCCAGTTCTGCTTTACTGGAGTGTACCCTGCCCACCGATAAGTCCCTTGGGAAGCAGAGCCACCTAAAAGCCCTTAGGGGAAGGCCTGTTCTGTGGCTGGATCATTTGGGATTGCTGTTGGGACAGATTAGCAGAGATCCTGAACATCTGCTCCTGGTTCTGTCATTTAGGAAATGTTTCCTGCTCTAACTTACACCTGCTACATAATCATGCTATGCATACTGATTCTAAAACAATTTTTCAAAAGTTAGTACTTTGTAAACTACAAATTGAAACTGTTCCTCTCTCTGAATAGTTCTTTTACTAGGATGCAGTGAATGCAAAACATTTTTCTTGAGATTTTCCCCTTCTGCCAGAACACTGAAGTGTACTGTTCACTTGTGAAACTGAAGAAAAGATGAATTATTGAAACTAGTACCATGCTTTCTGCCATTTCAGTGTAACTTTAAAATTTTGGAGGTAATTTAGGAACCTATATAGCTAAACATCAGTGAAATTCAGCTGAACTCAACCTGCTGCAAGTGCAAACCTTGTCATAGCTGAACTCAAAAACTTTGTAGAGACCCTTGTGTCTTTTTGTTTCCAAAACAGAATGGAGGCATTATTGGCAAATCAATCTTTTAAGATGTCCTCATTCTGTTTTGTTCAGTTTTGCTCCTTAGAGGAAGGTATTTTATATGAATTGAGCAACGCCTGTAAAGTCCCTATAAAGAGTAAAAACATTCACCTAGAATCAGGCATGAAGGAGAAACATTGCCTTATTTTCACTGTTTAGTTCTGAAAATTACTGGATATGAGGTAAGGATATGAAATCTTTTTCCTCCCCCAAGCACAGCTGGTACAGGTACCCAGCATGCTCCTCCACGTGTGTGTTTGTCTGTACAGATGTAACCCCCTCCCTCTTCCAGTTTCACCAATTTTCCTCTCCCAGTGTCAGCCAGTGATGATCAGGCAGGTCAGGGAGAAGGAGGCAGGGCCGGAGACCAGCCAGGTTCCTCTTGCACAGCATGGCAAGGTGGAGGGAGAAGCTGCTGTGTTCCCACTCAGTGCCTGCACCCATGCTCCTGAAATCCCATGTAGCTTGTTCTCAGGCTTCCTTCCTTTCCTGTTGTTCCCCCAAGTTTTAAATCCATTGTTTGTTCACTTGCTTAGGCTGATGGTGCTGGAGTTGAGTAAATACAGCTACTGGAGAGTTTTCTTCAGATTTATTCTAGGATGTATTTATAGATGGTGCTCATGCAATAGTGAAAATGAGAAATCGGGAAAGTGAGAGCCAGCATATGGAGCCAGCAAATAAGGATGGGAACAATGAACTAAATTTTGCTTTGGGGAGGCATGATGTTAAGGATTTGGCTTTTCAGTTTTACAACCTAGACTGTTTAAAGCTAATTTATACTCTTCAGCCCAGTGATGTCTGTCTCCTATCCGTTTATTGGAAAGATGATCACAGTTTATGTAGATGTTTTTGTACAACTATTGTGTTAGAAAAAAGAAGATAGCATAACTTAAATATCCTTAAGTATCCCATTGCTCTCTGTCACTTGTGGACCACTTTCCTGAGGGTACATTACGTGATTTCTCTATTTTCTGTATGCTGGAGTATTCTGCTTCTGTGCAAGATTTGTGGAATCCATCATAAGGCCCTTTATATCTTTGTAATGATACAGATGCAAAGTGGTAGGTGAAGGAAAATTTGTCTTTTTTATACGTTTCCTCTATCATTCCCCAAGTTTTCGCAATCTAAGTAGCAGTATCATTAACACTCCTCTCTAATAGCATTTGGGTAAAGTTGTTTACCTACTTTCACTAAATGAACAAATGGTCTCCCTTTTTAATGAAAACCGTATTCTTCCAACTACTCCCTAAACAAAAAGCTAATAACAAACTTTTTTAGGCAAAATCGGAGGCATCAGCAAGTATATTTGGGGAGAAACAAAAATCCAAAGTGAAAGTTTTAAAGCAGCAGTTGATCAGATTGTCTTTTTATAACAAGTCTATCTAAACTAATATATATATATATTGCTTTAAAGAATTTTACTGTGCTAATGGTAAAGTTGTTCAAAGCAATTTCACTGAAATGTATGATGAAGGACCACTTTTAAGTAGTCTTTCATAGACATGAAGAGCTTATAGTCCCAAATACTTTGCAGATACTGAAAAGAACAAAAAGAGAGCACAAGATTAAAAAGATCTGGAAAATAAAACAAATTTTATACCAACAGTGGACCTTAAAGCAACACACAGATTTCCAGAAAGCTCTATGAACAGGTGCTTTTCGTGGCTGCCTGTAAGCATCATGGAGAACAATGCATGGATGAAGGAGTGGAGGAATTTACCTGCCTTTACCCACAGAGGATAATTAGGTCTCATACAATGCTTGGATCCATTACAGTGTGCCTCCTCTAGTCTCATTAATGTTGGTAATATATTAGCGAGTTTTCAGTGAGGCTCAGCATATGGATCTGCAAATAGAAATTCAAAAACAGATATCAATTTAAATCACAGGAGTTTCATTGCAGCCAGCACCCCTGCTGACCGCACAAACACCCATGAAAGCAGTGCTTCACGCAGCGTGCTGGGGGTGGCAGTTTCTTAGAAGTGTTGTGGGGTGGCTGGCTGCAAGCCTGTGAATCTGAGACACCTCACGTAAAATGAAAGTCCTTTTAAACACTGTGATTTCATCTGTTCACGGGGTTGGCATATCTGCTTGAGGCTGTGGGAAACTTTCCACATTAAAAAAAAATAAAAAATCAGTCACAGGTGATAATGTTTGCACTTTTTATAGCCATCCACAAACAGTACTGAAGTTTAGAGTTGGTTTTCAATAACCTCTGCTCAATGCTGGATGGTTTCTAGTGAGTGAAAATATTCACTATTGTCCCAGAAAAATCTAATTTTCTCCAGCAAATTACCTGAAGCTGCTGTGGATGAAGTTGATTGGCTTGGCACAAACTCCTCTAAGAAGGTTTGCACATGGGGATTGTGGCCAAGGTTGATTTCCCCTAAAGGAAACTCTCCTTCTTACAAAAAATAAACAATTCAAATCTACTGGAATACAGCCCAGATTACTTATTCTTAAGTTTAAAATGATGTCCTTTCATAAAATTTCATAGACGTTCAATCTGCATATTCAACTGTGATTTACAATACAAAGTGAGCAAGCACAAGTCCATATGTTTGCTGCAAACCCTCAAGAAATTCTAAGAGAGCAGCTGTTTTTTTCTCTACTAGCAGCAGCAGCCTTCACAGGAATTGGACCCCTCTGATGCAGATTTTTTTCCTCTAAAACTTTGCTGCCCTTGTGGCATTGGTGTGGCTCCTTCTACCTGTCAGACAACCTATCTCAAATACTGAGCACTTGCATGACCTTTTACGCCTTTTTGGTCTTACTGTCCTCATTTCATTCTCAGAACATGGAGTACCCTTCTAGGATCCGAGGAGGGGTTACTCTTTTTATGCTCTCAAATCAGCATCATTACCAATTCTAAGTTTTATTTTTTCCCCTAGTCTTCAAGTTGTTTGATGTTTCTCCCATTCTTTCCAACTCAGTGGCTGTTCCTTCCTCTTCCCACTCTGAAATAGCAACTGTGTTACTTCCAAAGCTGCTTCTGGGTATCAGGAAATAAAACATCTCATTGTAAAACTTACAACTGTATACCTGTGTGTACCAGAAAGGCTGCCAAACTGCACTGTGTAGTGCACCTTTTCTATCTTTACCTTCAGTATCTGGTGTTTCAGTGGTCATGAACTGAAGTTTGCTGAAGTAAATGTAAAGGCTCACATCATCTACAGTCAGCTTTGGCAGAGTTGCTGCTGTCAGCAGATCGATATTTTCCAAAGAAGTAATAACAGCATCCATAGAACTTGTGAAACCAAGTGTAGCCATCCATAAAATGCCTACCTTCCACAGGCATAAGGGGCTGGGAATGGTTTGTGCCTCTTCCATCTGCTTCTT